GGAAAAAAAAAAAACCTGGCCAGCGGAAAAAAAAAAAAAAAAAAAAAAATGTAGCTTTGCATTTGGTGAATGAGCTGCATGCTCAGGGTGGTCATTTAAGTGAGACAACCTATTAGTCAAAAGTGCCTCTTTAAAACAACAAATTACCTGTCAGATATGTAAATTTAGAATCCTGTATGACCTGATGGCTTAGTTGGCCCAGAGATGGTGGGGATGTGCATTTTGATTTCTCTGTGTAGGCCAGCTGGCTTAGCTGCCTTCCGTGGTTAATGCCTTGACGACAGGTTAATGCCTTGAGCCATTTTGATTTCCAAATGTGTGGGGTGGGAGAGGAGAGTTCTTTAACCTATACCCCTTGTCAGTAGTGGCCTGGCTTCCCCCTCCCTCTACTTCAGCCTCTAAGCTGGGGCAGTCACAGGGCTCATCTCATTTGTTGGTAAGGGCTCATCGACCTGCACTGCCCAATGTCCAATGTCTGAAAGCCATTGTTTTTATATATAATTATTATTATTATTGTTTTTTTTCTCAGTTTTTTGTTCTTTCAGCAGAGGTCCTGTTACTCCATTCTGGCCAAAAGTGGAAGTCTGCTGTCATAATTTTTAGCCTTTGTGTTTTGGCTGCATACTTTTTGCTGGTAATATAGTTTATTTCCTACCAAAAAAATTGACCATGCAGACAAATTGATAAGGTCCCTTCTAGAGCCTTAGAAGGGATCTGTACAAGTGAGAGAGTCCTAAAGCTCAAACTTCATCAGCTTCATATAGTAAATCCATCTTTAGGTCTTTAGGAAAAGAGGAAGAACAAAAACTAGCAGGATCGAGGCCTTAATCCAGCCCTATAAGACTTCCCAAGTGCAACATGGCCAGTGACAAGCAATGAAAAGAGGCAGTGTTCATAGGAACTGATTTCTTGACAGATGAAAAAAACCTCATTTTCTTCGGGGAAGTCACTCAGCCAGAAGCTTGGTATCAAGACCCAGTGGATCTACCTGTGCCTCCAGGGTCAGGCAGCTTGGAGTCCAGGTGACTCAGGAGCAGGCTGTGGTGGGAGCTGTTCATCCAAAAAGTTGCTCACCTGCCCAGAAGAAGGTCACACATTAAAGTACCACTTGAGCTGTATCTGTCGCATGCCTATATCTTTTTTGTCCTAACTTCAGGCTTCTACTGGTTGCATGGTGTAAGAGCAAGCTAATATCAGATAACTTGAATAGAGGTTAAACTGAGATATGCTGTAATTAGGATAATATTATAGAACAAATCATGAAACTAACAATTTAAAGAATTTAGCTAAACTACAACTAACAACTTAGGTTGTCATTATAGTATGGTGATGTAAGGACAACTAGAATTTTGAAACTACATATCTAGCCTGTTTGAAAGTTCCTTAGGTTTATATGCATGTAAGCTTTTCATCAGTTCTTAAGGACAGTGATAATAAATAGTAATAAATTAATAGCAATAATAAAAAATAAGTATATTTTTAACTGTCATCTTTGAAACAAGAAAGGGAACTGGCAGCCTTTCAAAGAAACTGAAATCCAGGGAGGTGAGAGCAAGCCCTGCTAGTCTCTTTGGTGCCTTTGTGCAATTAGGAAAAGGTGCTGCCTCTCGGTGATTCAACCCCCTCCCTCCCATCCCTCCCTCCCCCCTCCCTCTCCTCCCTCCCTCCCTTCCCTTCCTTCGTTCCCTTCGTTCCCTTCCTTCCGTCCCTTCCTTCCATCCCTTCCCTTCCGCCCCTTCCTTCCTTCCCTCCTGGCTGTGTTCTTTCCATGACCAAGTACTCAACCATCAACCATTTTCTTTCCAATATTTAACTACCATTTTTATAAATTAAAATTTGGATAGATTTTCTCCCAAAGTGCCACTTATATTACAACACATCTTGAAAATACAGGTAAAAATGTAAATTCTCTCTGATTCAATGATTACAGGACTTCCAAACACCATCATTTATAGTATTTGGAAAAATACAATTTTCCTTTTCACGGAAAGCATGGTTTCTGGCAGTAATAATTCCATTTCCATTACTCTTGATGAACCAACTGAGATATCCAAGTTAATGCAATTTGTGTTCAAAGATGTCCTAAAAGGCTATTGTAACTTCGTTATCAGTACATGACCTTTGAAAGTATTATAGTTATTAAAATAAATAATGATAGCATCTAACATTGCTCTAATAGGATTTTCTGTTCTCCCAGGTCAGGTGGCAAAAGTTTAATGAGCAATTTAATTACTTGATGAATCAAATAGCTCTTATTTTTTGTTCCAAGGGTTGGGTAACATTGGTTTAAATGAAATATTAAAGTTTCGTTAGAGTATTTTACCTTCAAGGAATAAGAATTGCTTTAGAAATCATTTTCAGATCCTCCTCCAAATCTTTTATTGTGTTTAACTTCATTCTCTTACTAATTACTATTCATAAAATCCACAAACCTTAGTGCTAGGTTTCATTTTAGAAATACTGTATCACCATCTTCTCATTTTACCAAAGTGGCAGAGGATAGGGCTGCTGTAACAAAGTACCACAAATGAGAAGGCTTAAAACAGAAACTTACTCTCTCACAGTTCCGGCCAGAATTCTGAAATCAAGGTATCAGCAGGGCCATGCTCTCTCTGAACGCTCTAGAAGAGAATCTGTTCCATGCCTTCCTCTTAGTTTTTGGTGTTGCCGGCAATCCTTGGTGTTCCCGGGTTTATAGTCATAGCACTCCAATCTCTGCCTCCATTGCCACATGACATTCTCTGTGTGTGTCCTTGTGTCTCTTGTCCTCTTTTTATAAGGACACAAGTCATTGGATGAAGGGCCCAACCTACTCCAATATGACCCCATCTTAACCAATTACATCTATAACAATCATATTTCCAAATAAAGTCACATTCACAGGTACCAAGGGTTAGGGCTTGAACATCTCTTTGGGGACGCTATTCTGCCTACCACAGCATGCAGCTCTACTTCTATGAGTGCAAAAACACTGTGGGCAATCACTAATTACCATAGCTTTCTGTGGGGCTCTTTTGAGTTAAATGAAAGTAGGATGCAGCAGGGTATCATCAAATACACAAACCATTCCTGTCCTCAGAATGCTTACAGTTTCATGGAAAAACTGATGATAAGTCAACCCATAGGTATTCATTAGAAAAAATTAATATGTGTAGTGTCTTAGCCTGTTTGGGCTGCTATAACAAAATACTGGGTGACTTAAAAACAGCAAAAATCTATTGCTCACAGTCCTAGAGGCTGGGAAGTCCAAGATCAAGTCCCTAGCACATTTGCTGCCTGGTGAGGGCCCCCTTCTTCATAGATGGCTCCCTCTGTGAGTCCTCACATGGTAGAAGGCGCTAACAAGCTCCCCAGGCCTCTTTTATAAGTACACTAATTCCATTTATGAGGGCTCCACCTTCAAGACATAGTCACCTCCTAAGGGCCTCACCTCTTAATCATATTGCATTGGGGATTAGTTTTCAATATATGAACTTTGGGGTAAGTAAGCATTCAGTCCACAGCATGAAGTGTTGGAAACACCAAGAAGCACAATTTACATAGTCTGGTCAAGGGAAGCCTCTCCGATGATATGACACTTAAACAGACTTGAAGGATGACAATGAGTCAGTCATGGGAAAGATAGTGTTAAGAATGTTCCAGGTGGGCCAGCCCCATGGTGCACTTGGGAGAGTGCAGCGCTTGGGAGCGCGGTGGCGCTTCCGCTGTAGGTTTGGATCCTATATAGGGATGGCAAGGGCGCTTACTGGCTGAGCGCGGTGCGGGCGACACCAAGCCAAGGGTTGCGATCCCCTTACCGGTCACAAAAAAAATAAATAAATAAAAAATAAAAAAATAAAAAATGTTCCAGGTGGAGTTAACAGCAGATACTAAGACTCCAAGGTGGGAAAGAGCTCAGCACTTTCCAGGGACTGATGGAACAAAGAGGGAAGATGATAGAAGATGAGATTAAAGATGTGAGCAGGGGCCATCACCTGATGGGCAGTGAGTTGGTGTGTTAGTTTTGGTTGCTTATAACAAAATACGTGGAACTGGGTACTTTGTAAAGAAAACTATATTTATTGCTTACAGTTTCAGAGGTGGGAAGTACAAAGTCCAGGGAATACATTTGGTGAAGGCCTTAGAGGTGGTGACAGTGACCCAGGGGTCTCACATGGCAGAAAATGGTGGAGC